TATATATGTGCAAACAGCAATGTCGTCATGTATGGCAGTCAGTCAGACTGAGCAAGGAATATGACACTAAAATAGGCCCTTCTACGATCTATAAGATGAAAGAAGCAAGAACATAGCAAAGGAAAGCGCAATCCAAAAACACCAGGACTTCTCTACTGAGATCTTTAGAAGCAAGGAGAGTCTGGGGGCCCATTCTCACTCTTCTGAACAAAACAATGCCCATGCCTAGAACTTATTCCTGCCAAAAAGCTAAGTTTTGTTATATGAAGGAGAAATCACAACATTCTGTCAAATAAGGCAAAGACCTGAGGGAATGTCACCAAGAACAAGAACAAGCCCTTCCAAGAAAGTACCTCAAGCCACTGTTACCGCCACGATCGCACCAAAAACACATCCACGATGGTAAATCTACTCAAAGCTAAAGATCAAGTCCAGATAACGTAATGCTCAAGAGATAAAAACAAGGCAACAAAGGTTCAACCCAACATAGATGAACAGAAATCTTGCCGCCCACCTATCAGTTATCTCACTACATGTGAATGGCTTGAACTCCCCACTAAAGAGACATAGGCTGGCTGAATGGATAAAAAAAAAAAAAACACAAGCCAAGTATCTGCTGCCTTCAGAAAACACATCTAACCTGCAAGGACGCATATAGAGTAAAGGCAAAGGGGTGGTGAACAATATTTCAAGCAAAGGGAAGCCAAAAGAAAGCTGGCGTGTCAGTGCTGATTACAGATAACTTAGTTTTTAAATCAACAAAAGTAATAAAAGACAAAGAAGGTCACTATATAATGGTGAAGGGTACAGTTCAACAAGAAGACATAACAATTCTAAATATATATGCACCCAACCTTAGTGCACCCAGATTCATAAATCAAACACTACTAGATCTAAACAAGTGGATAAACAACAACACCATAATAGTCGGAGACTTTAACACCCCACTGACAGCACAGAACAGATCCTCCAAACAGAAAATCAACAAAGAAAAATAATGGACTTAAACAGAACTCTAGAACAAATGGGCCTGACTGACATTTACAGGACATTCCACCCTAAAACCACTGAATATATGTTATTCTCATCAGCTCATGGGTCATTTTCTAAGATTGATCATATCCTAGGACACAAAGCATACCTCAAACAATTTTAAAAAATAGAAATTATACCATGTATCTTTTCAGACCACAATGGAATAAAAGTAGAAATCAACCCTAACAGAAACCCTCATTTCTACACAAAGTCATAGAAACTAAACAACCTTCTGCTAAATGATCATTTCCTAAATGAGGAAATCAAGATGGAAATCAAAAGATTCTTTGAACTAAGTGACAAAGGAGACACAAGTTATCAAAACCTGTGGGACACAGTTGACGCAGTCCTGAGAGGAAACTCTATTTCCATAAATGCCTATACCCAAAAGTCGAAAAGATCACAAATAGACAACCTAATGAACTATCTCAAAGAGCTGGAAAAAGAAGAACAAACCAACCCCCAACCCAGCAGAAGAAATTAAATCATTAAGATCAAATCAGAACTAAACGAAATAGACAACAGGGAAACTATACGAAGATTAATGAAACAAAAGTAGGTTCTTTGAAAAAATAAACAAAATTTACAGACTATTGGCTAGACTAATGAAAAGCAGAAAAGAAGAATCTCTAATAAGCTCCATCAGGAACAATAAAGGAGAAATTACAACGGATGCCACGGAGATACAAGATAAAATTTATGAATACTACAAAAACCTCTATGTACACAAACTGGAAAATGTGGAGGAAATGGACAATTTCTTATAAACACACAACCTTCCTAGGCTCAACCAGGAAGAAATAGAATTCCTGAACAGACCAATATCAAGTAATGAAATTGAAACAGCAATAAAAAACCTTCCTAAAAAGAAAAGTCCTGGACCACATGGTTTCACCCCCAAATTTTACCACACCTACAAAGAAGAACTGGTGCCTATCCTGCAGAAATTATTCTACAACATCAAGAAGCATGGAATCATCCCCAACACATTTTATGAAGCGAACATAACCCTGATGCCAAAACCAGGAAAGGATGCAACAAAAAAAGAAAACTACAGAACAATATTTCTTATGAATATAGACGCAAAAATTCTGAACAAAATCCTAGCCAATCGAATCCGGGTGCTTGTCAAGAAAATAATTCATTTTAAGCCAAGTGAGCTTCATCCCAGGGATGCAGGGATGGTTCAACATATGCAAATCTATAAATGTAATTTACCATATAAACAGAAGCAAAAACAAAGACCATATGATTCTCTCAATAGATGCAGAAAAAGTATTTGACAAAATTCAAAACCCTTTTATGATAAGAATGCTCAACAAAATAGGCACAGACGGGGCTTACCTAAAAATGATACAAGCCATATATGACAAACCCACAGCCAATATCATACTGAATGAAGGAAAATTGAAAGCATTCCCACTTATAACTGGAAAAAGACAAGGTTGCCCACTATCTCCACTTCTCTTCAACATAGTGCTGGAAGTCCTCACTATAGCAATCAGACAAGAGAGTGGAATTAAGGGCGTCCAAATGGGAGCAGAAGATATCAAACTCTAACCTTTTGCTGATGTTATGATAATATACATAGAAAACCCCAAGGATTCAACCAAGAGACTCCTTGAATTGATAAATGAATTTGGTAAAGTCTCAGGATACCCACAGAATTTGGGAAAAAATTAATTAATTTAAAAAAAACATTGTTAAAATGTCTATACTACCTAAAGTGACCTACAGAGTCAACGCAATCCCTATCAAAATACCATCACCATTTTTCACATATAAAAAATAATTTTATGCTTCATATGGAACCAGAGAAGAGCCCGTATAGAAAAATCAATCCTAGGCAATAAAAACAAAATAGGAGGTATCAATTTACCAAACTTCAAACTATACTACAAGGCTATAGTCATTAAAACAGCTTTTTATTGGCACAAAAACAGGAACATTGACCAGTGGAACAGGACAGAGAACCCAGATATAAAACAATACTCATATAGCCAACTAATCTTTGACAAAGCAGACAAAAACATACACTGGGGAAAAGAATCCTTATTCAATAAATGGTGCTGGGAAAACTAGATAGCCACATGTAGACGACCCATACCTTTCACCTCTCACAAAAATCAACTCACACTGGATAACAGACTTGAACCTTAGGTGTGAAACTATTAGAATTCTAGAGGAAAATGTTGGAAATACCCTTCTAGACATTGGCCTAGGCAAAGAATTTATGAAGAAGACCCCAAAGGCAATCACAACAGCAACAAAAATAAACAAATGGGACCTGATCAAATTAAAAAGCTTCTCCACAGCCAAAGAAACTATCAAGAAGCAAAGAGACAACCCAAAGACTGGGAGAAAATTTTTGCAAGCTACATATCTGATAAAGGCCTGATAACTAGAATCTATTTAAAACTCATGAAAATCAGCAAGAAAAAATCAAACAACCCTATCAAAAAATGGGCAAAGGACATGAACAGAAACTTCTCAAAAGAAGACAGAATAATGGCCAACAAACATATGAAAAAATGTTCAACATCTCTAATCATCAGGGAAATGCAAGTCAAAACCACAAGGAGATATCACTTAACTACAGTGAGAATGGCCTTTATCAAAAAGTCCCCAAACAACAAATGTTGGTGTGGATGCGGAGAGAGTGGAACACTCCTACACTGCTGGTGAGACTGCAAACTAGTTCAACCTCTGTGGAAAGAAATATGGAGATACCTTAAAGTGATACAAGTAGATCTACCATTTGATCCAGCAATTCCACTACTGGGCATCTACCCAAAAGCTCAAAAGTCACTTTATGAAAAAGACACCTGCACTCGAATGCTTATAGCAGCACCATTCACAATTGCAAAGCTGTGGAAACAACCCAATTGCCCATCAATTCATGAGTGGATTATCACAATGTGGTATATGTATACCATGGAGTACTACTCAGCTTTAAGAAACAACGGAGATATAGCACCTCTTGTATATTCCTGGATATAGCTGGAACCCATTCTACTAAGTGAAGTATCTCAAGAATGGAAAAACCAGCACCACATGTACTCCCTAGCAAATTGGTATTAACGGATCAACACCTAAGTGGACATATAGGAGTACATTTATCGGGTGTCGGGAGGGTGGGAGCGGGGAGGAACGGATGGGTATATACAAACACAATGAGTAAGATGTGCAACATTTGGGGGATGGACACGCTTGAAGCTCTTACTCGAGGGGGGGGGCATGTGCAATATATGTAACCTTAACACTTGTACCCCCATAATATGCTAAAATTAAAAAAAAGATACAAAAAAAAATAAATCTCTATATAACTTGGAAGTACTGTGGAATATGCAGCTGTCCTTGGTTTAAACATGGCAACCCTAGGGTTTAAAGCTGAAGTTGAAAGATCACAGAATTACTGGCAATTTGTTCAAATCAAATCTTATTCTATATATAAACTATATAACATAGCATACATTAGACTATTATTTCAAAATTCTCTCCAGTACTAAGAAATGGGCAAGGTAATTTTTCCTTTCTGTTGATAAAACGTCAGAAATTTGACACACAAGCTCTAGCAGCTCTTTATATTCATCAACTGCCAAGTAAGTTGAATAGTTTAACAGTAAAGTATTAGTATATTCCTGGTAACAAAAACTACAAACCATCTCTTAAACTTATAATGCTCTACCTCAAAGGCCTGCCAACATTTCAACAGATGTTCTAATCACAACTCAAAATCCTCCGTTCCAAGTACTAGCATGACACTTCTCCAAAATGAGTCTAGTTTTGATAATATACCACCTTAACTAAGAATTTGAAAACTTGCTTGACAACCAGCTCAATTGTATGGCTTCAAACTCCAGGGAATCTGTGTTGTTGCCCTAAAAATTACCACTTTAAATTAGAAACTAATGTACTCGATAGAGGTTATTAAGACAATAATGCTTAAATATGTGGAAACTTACGTGGTTCCATTGCAGAAGCATCTACGGATTCTTCGGTTGAGTGGGTTTTTATGAATTCTGAAATAATTAAAAGTGTATTTGTCATTATGAATTTCAAATAGAAATTATATATACTAATTGAGTTTAAATTTTATAGTTTTTATCTTAATAACTCATTCAAGAGAAAGAAAACTCTATGAAAAAATAATAATTGCCAATACTGCAGATCCTCCCAATCAGGCAACAAATGGTAATATCTGAAAGAATGTGAGTAACAGCTGATTATAAACCCATCATTTTTTCATTAAACTTGTTTTTACTCTCAATATTCTCTTATATTAGTTGGTGGTACCATAATCATTATATTAGTTGGTGGTACCATAATCATCATGATTATGGTACCATGATGATTATGGTACCACCACTCCCTTCTTTCATATCCAATCATCAAGTTTTGCCAATTCTATCAAGTAAATATTTCTCAAATCTGTTCCTGTTCTTCCCTTTTACCAGTGCTCTAATATAGGTACTTATTACATATCTAAGGGATATAATAACTTCCCTTTCCTACTCCTAGTCTGCAAATCTAGCTTCTACAATGTGTCCAGAATAATCTCTCTAAAATTAAGTCTGACAGTATCACTCCCCTTTGAAGTACCTTCAATGGTTCCCTATTATATTTGGTAAAAGTCCAACCTCCTTAGCACGGCATCCAATCTCTCTATAACTAGACTCTCTCCTGCCTTAGCCCTATCTATCACTTCATACTCTAATATCAATCCAGTTGTACTTCCCTGTTTGTTCATGCTATTATCATCTTTTAAAATGCCAAATATCTTCCTTCTGTACTTGACTAAATCCTATTCACCCTCTAAGGTTGCATAAAATCTTAACTCCTAACTCCCTCAGGTTGAACAGATTGCTCCCTTCTGTGGACCCAATGCAAATTACCTATACATTTATCATGCATTACAATATACTGAAATGCTACATAATGTACTTGTGCCCTTTCTAAACTGTGAATTTCATGGGGCTAACAATCAAGTTGTATATATTTTGTATGTTCCTAGAATTTAGAACATAATAGGAACTTTTATTGAAATATCAAACTCACTATTGAATATTATTCAAATTGACCATTGCACAATTTCATAACTGTAAATTTTAAAACTGTAAGTCCAAATATGTTAATACACTTAAGAAACCCTATAAAGGCTAAAGATAGATAAAATAGAATTACCTTCAATTTTCTGCCGTATAGTTTCATAACCTTCCCCTTCTTTTGATAGATTTTCTTTATCCCTATTAAAGTTTCAACAAATATGTTTTACTATATCAAAGAATAAGAGTTTAAATTACACTTAAACAAGAACTAAAATGTACAGTCTAGACATATGAAGTTTGTAAAATAAAAATTACACACTCTTTAACCTTTACTCACAGACACTAAGGTAAATTAGTAATGAGCAAATAAGTATAAAAGTCAAACTATGTAATTCTATAAATTCCATGTATTCTTTGTATATAATTAGGTATGCCAACAACATTAACAGTAAAAATAACAAAAATAAATTCAATAGAAACATGAAGTTTCTTTTAATCAATATTGTTATTAATGGTGTAATAATGTTCAAGAGCACAAGTTCTGGAGTGAGACTAACTGACCAAAAACCAGTTTCATTTGCTGACGAATTATATGACCTCAAGTAAGTTAATTAACCTCTCTGAGCTTCAGTTTCTTCATATTAAAATTGGGGAAACTTCCCATAAAGAAGTCATGAGGATCAAAGGAGATTATACATATAAAGTTACTAGAAAAATACCTAGCACACACAGACACTATGGTCTGAAACTAATTTCATGCCTTATAAAAAATAGCTCTAGTAAATACATCTGAATCTCTGAGTGAAGGATACAGTTATGCAACCTCATTGGAACGAACTCAAGTACCACTCCCCTCATTCCTTTAAGTCACTGACAAATAGAGATCTAAATAAAGCAATTATATGATAAATAGTAGCCCCTCCCAATTATAAGTATAAACTTTCTATTTTAACACCATAAAATTAAAAATTTTATGTATGTTTAATGCAAAAGCTGGTTGTTTATATAAACATAAAATTTTTACTTGGGTAAGTTGCTCATATAATTTTTAATGAAGGTGCTCATGAACAATTAAATATATAATCAGTTCTAAAATCATTGCTTTTTTATTATCTGATCAAACTGAAAAAAGAGTTTTTTAGTTTTATCTCAATGTCCAATATAACTTTCTAATAATAGCCACACATAGTTACTAAGCACTTGAAATGTGGCTAGTACGGCTAAGAAACTGATTTATTTTATTGAATTGAATTGAATTTGAATAGCTACTTATGGCTAGTGACTACTGTATTGGACAGTGCCATCTCAGACTATTACAAATTTCAAACAGAAACAAATTCACTAGACCGGATTTGATTTAGAAGCTCTATGTTTAGCCGTATTATCTGACTCATTATCTTACATTTGGTACTAACTATATACCCCTTCTTATTGTTCTTAATTCAATTAGTTCTTATATTTCACTTACATGGGCTTAGACAACATGGCTTTGAAGGAGTATTTAGACCCCTGTGTCAAGCGACTTCTCAGTTCTTCAAGTTTTTGTACACGTCTTACTATTTGTGCAATACTTAAACTGATAGTTTTGTCAGGTGCTGGAAGTTCTGGTTCTAAAAGAGTTTGATCTTTACTTATCTAAAACAATAAAATTAACCAGTTAATTGGGAAATATCCATTTTGCTCCCATCCCTCAAAGACATTTCATTATTTCCTTTATCAAATCTAAGTAATTTTTACAATATTACTTTTATCTATGGCTATAGTCAAATATTCTGATATATTTAACAAATATACTTGAGCAATTATCTATAAATAGAATTATAGCTCAGTGATGACTTTTATATGTCTAAACTGAAACCCTCTTTTATTTTAATACATAGGAATTTTAAGCAAGTCCAATAACAATAAATGCAATTCAAAATATTTATAAGAGTAATTCTAAAATAATTGCTTCCCCTAAATTCTTTCTAAACATACCCTTACTGTGATAAAGTGTGGAACAACAGTAATCTGCTCTCAAATATCCTCTACTATTAACTCCCAGAAGTTAATATATAAAGGTCTATGACCCTGGCATCCTCAGTCTGCATGAAAAAAAAAAAAAAAAACTGAGACCCACTGGGGTGTTATAAGACCTTTGGAATAGACCAAATAAAAAGTAACAGGCAGTGGGAAAAATCAGTAAGATACACAGCATAAGATGAACATAACGAGTATTGTAGGTAAATAGGTCTACTTGAAGAATGTTCAACAAGAATGAGTGTCCAAAAACACAGTGAAAGAAACCTAGAAACCGCCAATATATGCAGACATAAATAAGGAGAATAGCAATTGGGGTCAAAAAGTTTTGACAGGAAAATAGCAGAGAATATTTACAAGAGTAATTCTTAAATAATTGCTTCCCTTAAATACAGATACCAACCCATGCAGACACCTCTAATTCTCATGATAGGAGGAAAAGCTGAAAGGGAAAAAAAAAAGGTCAAGGCCCTAGCAAATAGAAATTCGAGCACTGGAGATTGAGAAGAGACTGCATTTCAGTGATGACTGTTTGGATTAGGATTAGGATATAATAGCAAGAACTAAATGCTGGACAATGAACTAGGTAGGAGCCTGAGATTGTGTAAGGAAGATAAGGAAAAGGATGCAGAACAGGAAGCAGGAAGAAAAAGGAAGGGAAGCAGGAGACCCATGGAAACTCTATGGCCAAAGGAAAGATCTCAAGGAAGAGGCCACTAATCATAAATTGAGTCTAAAAGGTGATATACCAATCAGGTACATATATCAATCTATTGCTTCTCATCTCAAAAATATATTTGCTTATAATAGTGGAATATTTCTTCCTTGACAGGTAGCATGATGTTAACTTTTGTCAATAGAGGGTCCTAGAGAGGCACTGGAGGTGGAAGAAGCTCTTCCTAGTTTTGTCATCTCTCTCTGCATACTAATAGGGCAGTGCATAGTATATCTAGTAGCACTCATCCCCAGCAAGTTTCAACAGCACAACCCCTATGAATGGTTCCATGGTGAGGTCCCTGACATAGCACATTCCTAGGTGCAGCTTCCACCAGAACTTCTTAGCAAAATCCATCAGCACAGAACTTCCCATCGGGAGGATTTACAGCATACCATCCTTGTAGACAGCTTTCTAGCAAGAGATATAGTAACTCTCTACAAGAAGGTTTTTCACAGCCCACAAAGAGTGGGCTCCTAGTGTACCACCCGCATGGGCAGCATCCCAGTGAGTTGAAGTTCCCCTAGCATGGCACCCCTGCAAACTTTGCCATCTAGTGATTACAGCTGCTCCCTCTTCAGAAGGTCTGGATCTTAGCCCTGGTTTGGGGGGAGGGAAGGGTTGAGGGTATTCATATTTGTTCCTTCCTTGAGAACTCTACTTACATCCATCCTAGGAGTAGAGGCTATTCCCTGTATCTCCTAATCCTATATTTGTTAGGATTTTCTGTGCCGCTTTAGTAGATATAGCCCTCTGTTATAATAATTCTTTACATTAAACTTTTCCTAATCAAATTACTGTGTGGTTTTTGTCTCTTGATTAGACTCTAACTGATACATTATATTTCCCAATAAGGATGAAATCTGAATGGAAGTCTTTTCTGGGAGAAGAGAGGAAGGCATGCAACTAAAGCAGTATGGAATAGACAGTGGGATTATCAGCTAAATAATTTCATCAGAGACTTATGGAGCACAGATTCCAACAGGACAACTCTGAAGAACCAGGTTACAGGCTCACCCTACATTTCTCTGGTGCAGCTCACCATATACTCTGATGGCTTCAACATGTATCTCTGCTAACACAACATGACCACAGGCATTAATCTCACCAGCATGTACTGACAATAAAACCTGTCAGCAGTAAAAAGAATACTGTTCCAAGATTCTCAAATGTTAGTGTGCATAAGAATCTCTTAAGGAAGCCTTTTAAATCAACAGATTTCTAACCCACAAACACACACAAAAAAATTGTAATTCAGTAATGTGCATTAATAACACATATCTTGGGTGACATTTAAACATGTTCCATCAACTACATTCCTTGAAGAAACACTCCTTGAAAGGAAAAAGATAATACAAACACTTACGCGTGATACATCAAATACACCTGATACACCAAATTAAGAAACTATCCAAGAGAAGTAATTATGGGTTTAAACACTGAAAAACTTGTAATTCCAGATCAGAAGTATAGTTATGTAATGAGGAGTCCCCCTGGGGATTATAATCGCATAAACTGGGATTTCAGGCATACTGTAGATGATGGCAACTGGCACTAAATGTTTAAATAATAGATGCAGAAAAAAGTGGACACATTTGACAGCTATTTAGGAGGTAAAATCAAAAGGATTCATGGGTGGATTAAGTATTAGGCATAGGTAGAAGTTGTCAAGGATGGTTACCACATTTCTGGCTTACCCAATTTGATAAACAGTACTACCATTCACTGAAATAGGGAACACTAAAAGAGTTGTATGAGTTTAGGGGTAAAAAAAATTCTTAGTTTCGACCCATTGGATTTGAAGTGGAATAGTCTCATAGTAATAGTATACAAGCCTGGAATTCCAGAAAATTGTTTTGAGCAAAAGGTGTATGTTTCTAAATTACCAGCATAAAGGTAATACTTGAATGGAAAAACTAGACGAGACTGACTACAGAGAAAGTCTGGAGTAAAAGAAGAAAAGGAAATGCATAGGATAAAATCTTGAGGCACTTCAACATTTACTGGTGAAGTAAAGGAGATGACTCTGAGAAGGAGACAGCCAAAGAGGTAAAACAATAGCCAGGAGAGTGTAATTCACAGAAGCCAAAGGAAATATGTTTCAAAAACCAGGGAGCAATAAAAAATGTTAGTTGTGGCTAAGGTAAAGAAAAATGTCTGTTGAATTTAACTACATACAAATTATGAGGAACCATATGGAGAGAATGTTTTCCTGGTTATGCAGATAGAATTTAGTCTGGGTAGGTTAAGAACTGCTTGGGAAGTAAGACATAGTGTATAGTAAATTAATATAAATTTGGCTCTGAACCTGTAACATATACTCCACAACTAAACTCTTAAGGTTTTATATTAATAGAAAATCCATAAACAACTCAAATTGTTTTACTTGATACCCTTAGTTGGCTCTTAAAGAAAAAAGTGCCTAGATTAGGCCGGGCGTGGTGGCTCACGCCTGTAATCCTAGCTCTCTGGGAGGCCGAGACGGGCGGATTGCTCAAGGTCAGGAGTTCGAAACCAGCCTGAGCAAGAGCGAGACCTCGTCTCTACTATAAATAGAAATAAATTAATTGGCCAACTAATATATATAGAAAAAATTAGCCGGGCATGGTGGCGCATGCCTGTAGTCCCAGCTACTCGGGAGGCTGAGGCAGGAGGATCGCTTGAGCCCAGGAGTTTGCGGTTGCTGTGAGCTAGGCTGACGCCACGGCACTCACTCTAGCCTGGGCAACAAGTGAGACTCTGTCTCAAAAAAACAAAAAAAAAAAAAAAAAAAGTGCCTAGATTAACCACTTTGCTAGGTACCAGTTTATCAACTGAATAATACTTTTTTAAAAAAGCAAAACTAGTTCAGTTGTTCAAAGACCATCTGCAATATTTTTCTCTCTAGGTATTTATAAATCTTTTTTGCCTTTATTCCCTGAAAATAATTTACTGGCTATTTCTCTAATGTGAGTAAATTTGTGTACAAGTTTGTGTAATTTTTTAAAATTGGTTAATGAAAGGCCTAAAACTGAAGGGAAATGTGGCATCAAATGAGAGATAGATGAGCATATTTAAAAACTAAAAGAAACAATACAACTGAATGAGAGAGGTTGAATATACAAGAGAGAAATGACTAATTAAAGTTCTTGAGAAGGTGAGAAGAGATGGGATCCAAAACATAAGTGAAGGAATCAGTCTTAAGTATTAGGAGGAACAATATCTCTGTTTTAATACGAAAAAAGGAGGAGAAAATGAATATAGACATAAATATTTTGTATGGTGGCAGGAATTGAAGGAGCCCCATCCAATGGCTTGCATTTAGAGCATTCTAAGTGATTAGATGAGAGTGAAGACAAAAATGGGACAGAGGGAGTGGACCATAGACAGTAGCTGGCAAAGGCTAAAATTTTTTCAGAAGTGCAACAGAATTGCCAGGTAGTATCTGGAGTAATCAAGTCTAACCCACTGTGTTATTAATATTTCCTTCAGCAGTGTTTCACAGCAAACCTATAGGTCCAGAGAAAGTAAGTAATTGCATTTATTCAAGGTTAAATTTTGTATACAAGACTGGTGCAATGAAAAAATAAAGAGATAAGGGACATTAGGGAAAGAGATAAGGGACATTAGTTAAAAAATTCACTGTGATGAAGTACACAGTCTCTAAGCTAAACAGAAGGATTAATAATAAAAAGATTGCAAGAAGGTAGAGGGAATAAATGAACTGGAGATCTTGATGATGTCAAAGAGAGGTATTTAAAGTAATAATTGGAAAGACAGAAATTTATAGTCCAAGAATAAATTGTCTGAATTGGGGATTTAAAAACAAAAAAGCAATTTGGTTAATGATAGGACCAGAGTGTGACTGGAAGTGAAGGCCAATGGTAAAGAACTCTGGATCTTTGGAAATGAGGAAGTCAAGGAACTTAAGAAGCCAGGGTTTTGGCTAGGTCATGTACATTGACAAGACTCAGTGTAAAAAGAAAAGAGTAAGGCAAATTCATGAATAAAACAATAAAAAGAGGTTGATAGATGAAAAGTAAGAAGGCAGAAGACAAGTTGAATTTCCCAAGTTTTAAAGAAGTACACATTTTACAAAAGGGTGGAGGAATAGTAGACTTCATTCCAACCCTACTTCTCTAGAAAGATAAAGACCATTATGCCATAGTCAAAGAAGACACACTAACACTTTATGAATGTCAATCATATCTATCCTAAAGCAAAGAGTGTACAGACCATGAAAGTCTTCTACTCTGAGGCCAAAGGTAAAATAATTAGAAGGTACTAGGATACAGTTGCAGTTTCTACCTTCACCTTTAATTTTGTATCCCAAGTAAATCTGCCTCTTTTCTTTGAAAAGCCTGGGCTTCACGAGCATTTAATTGGATTGTACCATAAACATGACCAAGGGAGAACTAAAACATTTCTGTAAATCACTACCCTGGAAATCATTCTGCTATACTAACAGCACATATAAAGTCTTTTCCAGAATAGAATTAAAATTCTCTAAGGACAGAAACCAGTAGTTCTCAAACTGGTGGTAAAGTACCTGAAAATCAAAAGTACAAAGGAACATCGTTAAAATAACACATTAAATTTAGAGAAAATCAATATATAATTTTATGTCTACACATATATCACATTTTGCATGATTTTTAAATATAGCAGAAATTTTTTAATTGATAAATTCTCTCTTGTCAGTTACTCTTATATAAATTAAGAAAAAATAATAAATTAATATCCATTATTCAATTTTAGGAGAAAGAATGTGTCATTCAAACTTGAAGTATACCAGATATATGCAGGAATATAGCGTGTATATCAATAAGAAAAATTCTGTTCCATTCACTTATTCCTTCTCCAAATAAATCAAAAGATTACTTTATGACCAACAGTTATTTACAAATTTTTAACTTATGCATACTTGAAATTGGTTTTCAAATGAGTTAAAATATTAATGTAATTAACAATTAAGAAATGTTGCTAGAGGATCAAGATGGTAGATGAGAAACACCGCCAGAAAGAGTGTCTCTGCAGAAAAGACAGATTCAAGCAGAAATTAGAAAAAAGAAGCAAGAAGGCGAGCATACAGCGGACGAGGGCTAGAAGGAGGGGTACCTAAGACCCCGGGAGACTCCACGGGAGGAGGCTACGGAGGAGAACTGGAAGCTGGGACTGCCGGAGCAGCCAGGAGACCAGCGGGAAGGGTAGCTGGATAAGTCACCTTTCCCCTCCCCTGCATTTGGGACTGCTGGTGGGCTCCCCAGCAGGTGGAGAGACCTACGGACACCAGCCAAGAGACGGCCGCTGCCAGCTAGCGGTGAGCCTGTAGTGGACACAGTACCAGGCTCCCAACTCCCTCGGGCACCTCTGTGTGCACAGACCCGAGCCACGCGGCAGACGCCATATTGCCTCCTCCTCCCCTCCTCCGACCCTACCCGCAGCTGCCCAGAGAGACAATACAGCCACCAGCCAGAGGCACCTACAGGGAACAGGACCTTCCCTTTTGGGGCCCTACTGCTGACTAAGGGGAACTCAGACTGTGAGCTCCCTACCCGCCAGCCCTCACAGGTGCTGCTGGCACAGTGATCCCAGGAGAACAGTGCCGATTCAGAGGATGAGAGATATAGACCCAGCTTGGGCTCCCTGTGGGTGAATTGGGACCGGAACTCCTCTCCCTGGTGGGGATACAGTTTGAACTCTGGGACCCAGAGGTCGGACCTGCAGACCAGATCCTGTGCACCGAGGTCTAGCATTGCCCGGGGCACAGAAGGGATATTTGTGAACACCCTGCTGAGGTGTGTGTGCCTTCAGGGGCAGATCAGCATCCTAGAGGGCAACCCTCCTCCCATAGGGAGGCCGAGCGCCCGGCCCAGGGAGCGTTTCTGCGCAGGGAACCTCCCCGCCGGCATCACAATCCGGGGAGGCCTGGTGGCTTGTGGTCTGGCCTGCTGGCAGAAGCCCAGGAGTAGCTGCGGAGTTGGGTAGGGTGGAAAGAAGCAAGGCCCTCTCCTGACTGCGGGTCTCAGACAGCCCCACCCCCACAAGCAGACTTTCTGGCTGAGCCCGACCATTCCAGCCCCACCCTGACAGCTTTTCCTGGAAGCAGAGAATAGAACTTTGACCCCTGCTAATGGCATTGGTGGTGCCTGAGGGCAGGCTTACCCAACCCAGCTCCGCCCAGAACAAGAGCAGATAACAGGACATAAAAACAACAGCATAGCCTGTTCCTCCAAGCAAGCGCCACCTACTGACAGGGACGGCATCCTGCACAGCCTTTTCACGGCACCCACTGACTCATTATACAGGGAGTGGTCGAATCTCACCCACAGACACCACCTAACGGCTCAGAAACTAAACAAGGCGTGTGAATACCCAAACAAACACCTAAAGGAAAAAACAACAACTGATCGACATGGGAAGAAATCAGCGAAGGAACTCAGGAAATATGAAGAACCAAACGGAAAACACACCCCCAAAGGGAGCACCAGCCCCTAGAAACGGACACCAAATCCAAATCCAGGGAACCAAAATGACAGAAGAGAAATTGTGTATGGGATCAGAAGACACTGCACGCACCTGCAAGAGGAATCAATAACCAACACAAAGAACACAAAAGCCCGCGAGACCTTAGAACAAAGTGCACAAAGAAATAGACACAAGAAGAAAGTTTAACCGAAACTCCGAAAGAGACGAGGGCAGGGAACTACAAATACAGTGGAAAGTCTCACAGAACAGGGTAGTCAACAGAAGGAGAATCCAGAGCGGAAGATGAGAACCCGCGCAATAAATAAAACCATCACAGAGAGAGGCGAGAAAACAAGGAAAGAGCAAAGCGCGACGAAGAGATGTGGGATTATGTTGAGAAAACCTAATGTTGAGGGTCATAGAGTTATCAAGGGGAAGAGGCAACAGCCCGAAGGGTTGGCAAGCTATTTGAAGTATAATTAGAGGAAAAGTTCCCAGCCTTGCTAAAAATCTCGATTACAAGTTGCAACGAAGCTCAGAGACCCGCGAGATGGCAGAAGCAAACAGGAAGACATCACGACATGCAGTCATCAGAGACACAAAATATCATATAAAGAGGCCTTCTAAGAGCTGTAAGACTGAGAAGGAAGCAAGTGACATACAAGAAACCATTGCGAATAACCACCAGACTTGCTGCTAATGAGACTTTACAAGCAAGAGAGACTGGGCCCCATTCTCACTCTTCTGAAACAAAACAATGCCACCCTGAATCTTATCCCTGCAAAACTAAAGTTCATATAGAAGGAGACTAAAGACATTCTCAGACAAGCAGAGTCTCACAGAATTCACCAAGAGAAGATCTAGCCCTACAAGAAGTACTCAAAACAGTGTTACACACGGGAACCATAATAAAACTCACGAATATAAAACAACCAAAACCCGAAAGGCCAGATAATACAATGGCTCAAGAGAGAAATCAAAACAACAACATCCAACCCAACAGAATGAACAGTAATATACCTTACATCAGTTCTCTCATAATGTGAATGGCTTAAATTCTCCACTCAAGGACACATAGGCTGGGCTGAATGGATAAGAAAATACAGGCCAAGTACATGTGCTGTCTTGGCAGAACACATCTAACCTGCAAGGATACATATAGACTAAAAGTAAAAGGGTGGAGATCAGTATTTCCAGGCAATGGAAGCCAAAAGAAGGCTGCGTGGCAGTTCTAATTTCAGACGATTTAGTTTTTAAACCAACAAAAGTAGTGAAAGACAAAGAGGGTCTCATATAATGGTGAAGGGAACACTTCACAAGAAGAGATAACAATTTTAAAATATTATGCACCCAAATTAGGTGCACCCAGTTTCATAAAGCCACCTTACTGGATCTAAGCAAATGGATTAAGCATCCATAACACGGAGATTTCAACACCCCACTGACGGCACGAGACAGATCCTCCAAACAGAAATTAATAAAGAAATAATGGACTTAAACAAAACCTTGGAACAACTGGGTCTGACTGACATCTACAGGACATTCTACCAAAATCCACAGAATATACGTTCTTCTCATCAGCTCACGGGACATTCTCTAAGATTGACCATATCCTAGGACGCAAAGTAAATCTCAAGAAATTTAAAAAAATAGAATCATACCATGTACCTTCTCAGATCACAGTGGAATAAAAGTAGAAATCAACCCTAACAGAAACTCACATTTCTACACAAAAACGTGGAAATTAAACAACTACTAAATGATTACTTCATAAATGAAGAAATCAAGATGGAAATAAAAAATTCTATACTCCTACACTGCTGGTGGACTGAAAATAGTTCAACCTCTGTGGAAAGCAATATGGAGATACCTTAAAGCGATACAAGTGAATCTACCATTTGATCCACCAATCCCACTACTGGGCATCTACCCAAAAGATCCAATGACACTCTACAAAAAAGACACCTGCACTCGAATGTTCATAGCAGCACAATTCATAATTGCAAGGCTGTGGAAACAGCCCAAGTGCCCATCAATCCAAGAATGGATTAATAAAATGTGGTATATGTATACCATGGAGTACTATTCAGCTTAAGAAACAATGGTGATATAGCACATCTTATATTTTCCTGGTTAGAGCTGGAACCCATACTATTAAGTGAAGTTTCCCAAGAATGGAAAACAAGCACCACATATCTCACCAGCAAATTGGTATTAACTGAACAGCACCTAAGTGGTCACATAGGTACTACAGTAATAGGGTCTTGGGCAGGGGGGAGGGGGGCGGGTATATTCATATATAATGAGTGAGATGTGCACCATCTGGGGGATGGTCATGCTGGAGACTCAGACTTGTGGTGGGGCGGGGAATGGGCATTTATTGAAACCTTAAAATCTGTACCCCCATAATATGCCGAAATAAAAAAAAAAGAAAGAAATGTTATACTTACCTCCTCCATCTGATTGACTTGCCATTGAAACCACTTCAAAAAAAAAAGGAACAAAAAAGAAATAGTTAATGACAAGTTAAATATCTGCAGTAAAATAAATGTGTACATATGTGTGTATCTGTGTCTGTGAATTTTCATCTATCACACATATCAGTTCCTAACCAAAATATCATTTAGAATTCAGAATGGAAATAATGCAACACACAACTGAATATAAAATTTTTAAATATATAGAGCTACAAGTTTGGAAGTTCTTTTATTTCCTCAAAACTCAGAAATTTCTTCTTCATTTACATGTATTCTTTATTAAGTTTTAGATATATATGTAGAGAGAGAGAGAGAACATACCTTAAAAAGAGATTCCAAAATCTGGAAAATAAAGTTTTAATTAATACATTTAAAATAGAATTCTTCAAACTGTATGACATGATACAATATTTAGTTCAAGTCTTTTGTAATTTTCAATCATAAAAGTGTACCAATTGTTAAAATATAACTTTATAAATCTACAGTCCAAAATCATAATACTTTTATATTTAGAGATAGCACTTTAGTTCATCTTACATAGACAACTTAGTTCTAGAATACAAAAATAATTTTCTACCCTTATAAACCTATATTAGGAGGCCCCAAAATAATTCATAATAATCATTTCATATATCTTCTCAAAATAGGCAAGAAATAAAATTTAAATTCAAAAAAATAATTCACAATGATCAAGTGGGTTTCATTCTAGGGATACAAGGATGGGTCAACATATTCAAATCAATAAATGTGATTCACTACATAAAGAGAACTGAAAACAAAAATTATAGATCATCTCAACAGATGCAGAAAAAGTATTTGATAAAAATCCAGCACCTTTTCATGATAAAAATCCTTAACAAATTAAGCATAGAAGGAACATATTTCAAAATAATAAAAGTTATACATGACAAATCCACATACTAAATGGGAAAAAGTTGAAAACATTCCCCCTGAGAACTGGAACAAGACAAGGATGCCCACTGTCACCACTTCCATTCAATATAGTACTGAAGTTCTGTGACTTCTCTTTCCAAGAGAAAAACTTGGATATAAATATAAAATATAAAATAAAGGGTATCCAATTCAGGAAAGAGGATTTCAAACTATCCCAATGATATGATCTTTTATGTAGAAAACCCTAAAGACTCCTCCAAAGACTTCTAGAATTGATAAATTCAGTAAAATCTCAGGTTACAAAATTAAAGTACACAAATCAGTGGTATTTCTATATACTAATAACAGCCAAGCTCAGAATCAAATCAAGAATTCAATCCATTTTCAATGGCTATAAAAAAAACCTTAGGAATATACTTAACCAAGAAGGTAAAAGAGCTCCACAAGGAAAACTACAACACACTGATGAAAAAAAATCCTAGATAACACATACAAATGGAAAAATATCTCATGCCCATGGATTGGAAAAATCAATATTATTAAAATGTCCATACTGTCCAAAGTGATTCACAGATTAATGCAATTCCCATCAAAATACCAACATCATTTTTCACAGAAATAGAAAAAACATCCCAAATTTCATATGCAATTTAAAAAGAGCCCGAACAGCCAGAGCAATCTTCAGCAAAAGTAACAAATCTGGCTGCATCACATTACTCAGCTTCAAATTATACTACAAGGTTATAGCAACCCAAACAGCATGGTACTAGTATAAAAGTAAACACATAGACAGATGGAACAGAATAGAGAACCCAGAAATAAAAGCATACACCTACAACAACTGATATTCAACAAAAACTGAGAAAAGGATGCCCTATTCTATAAATTGTGCTGGGAAAAGGATGCCCTGTTCTATAAATTGTGCTGGGAAAATTGAAGAGCCACATGCAGAAGAATTAAAGTCATCCCCATCTCTCACCATATACAAAAATTAACTCAAGATGGATTAAAGATGTTTATAAATGTAAGACCTAAAACCACAAAAATTCTAGAAGAAAACTTAGGAAAAACTCCTCTGGACATTGGCCTAGGTAGAAGAAAAATAATTATGACTAAGACCCCAAAGCAAATACAACAAAAACAAAAACAAATAAGCAGGACTTAATTAAACTAAAATGTTTCTGTACAGCAAAAGAAATAACCAACAGAGTAAACAGACAATCTACGGAATGGGAGAAAATATTTGCAAAAAAGAAATGCATCTGACAAGGGATTAATATCCAGAAAATACAAGGAACTCAAACAACTCAATAGTAAAGAAACAAATAATTTGATTTTTAAATGGGCAAATGACCTGAATAGGTACTTCCCAAAAGAAAGACATACAAATGGTCAACAAGTATATGGAAAAATGCTCAACATCACTAACCATCAGGGAAATGTAAATCAAAACCACAATGAGATATCATCTCACCGCAGTTAAAATGGATAGTATCAAAAAGAAAAAGTAATTAATGCTGGAAAAGATGTGGAGAAAAGTTAACTTTCATACACTGTTGGTGGGAATGTAAACTAGTATAGCCATTATGAAAAACAGTATGGAGGTTCCTTAAAAAACTACAAATAGAACTACCATATACCATATACAGCCATCCTAAACTGGGTATATATCCAAAGGAAAGAAAATCGTGTATCAAGGAGTCATCTGCACTCATATGTTTACTGCAAAATGATTCACAATAGCCAAGATATGAAATCAACCTAAGTGTTCATCAACAGATGAATGGGACGGGATGCCATAGGTAATGCCTGTAATCCCAGCGCTTTAGTAGGCCAAGGTAGGAGAATCACTTGAGGCCATGAGTTTAAGACCAGCGTAGGCAACATAGCAGATCCTGTCTCTACCAAAAAAAGTTTTCAAAACTGAGCCAAACATGGTGGTGTACACCTGTACTCCTGGCTACTTGGAAGGCTGAGGTGGGAGGATCACTTCAGCCCAGGCATGTGAGATTACAGTAAGCTGTAACTATGCTACTGTACTGTAGCCTGAATGGCAGAGCAAGTCCTTGTCTCTAAAAAAATAAAAATAAAGAATTGTGAAAAAACAGAGGAACAGACAAATATAGTATATATAGAGAATGGAATACTATTAAGCCGTAGAAAAGAATGAAATCCTGTTATTTGTGGCAACATGGATGGGCCTGGAAGATATAATATTAAGAAAAATAAGCCAGGAACAGAAAGGTAAATGTTGCATGTTCTCACTCACATGTGGAAGCTAAGAAAAAGTTGATCTCATAGACATAGAAAGTAGAATAGTGGTTGTTAGGGAATGAGAAAGGTAGGAGTGAAGGGGCATAGAGAGAAGTTGGTTAAAGAATACATAATTGCAGCTAAATAGGAGGAATAAGTTAGTGTTCTATAATACTGTAGGATAACTATAGTTATAGTTAACAATAATTTATTCCATAGTTTTAAATAGCTGGATGAAAGGATTTTAAATATTCACAATACAGAAAAATGATAAATGTTTGAGGTGATGGATTTGCTAATTAATTACTCTGTATCAAAATATCACTACACACTATATCGAAATATCACTATGTACTCCAAAAATACATTAATTATTATGTGTCAATATAAAAAATAATATTGCCAAAAACAAGAAATTTAGTATATACCACTATATGAAAGAAAAAGACAATATAAACAACTCTATATATTCTTACGTTTTAATCATGGATAATTGATAAAGGCTGCAATACTAAACCATAGTTGTGTAGTCATATTAATGGCCAATCACTCTCCCTTTGTTGCTGATTGCCTCCCTGTCAATATTTATTAACTATCTTGTAACTGCTCTGAGGGTAGATATAGCAGTTCATTAAAACCCATACAACTATTGAAAAATCAACTCAAAATTCGTGTCTTATTAGTGGTGGGTCAGTGGCATAATCTTTGATTTTGACATAATACCCTTGATCGTGAAAAAAGAATAAAAATAAATAAATAATGCTTAACAATGCCATGCATAACTCCTTAAGGCATTGAATCTAGGCTAATATTGCTGACTGGCTATCACATTCAAATTTCAACAACCAACACATATTTTAAGATTTTATATTTGGCAGTTTATACAGAATACCTACATTACGTTCTTCCTTAACTGCTTCTTCAACCTGAGTTGCAAACTGTGAACAACATGCCAAGAACGAACTCAGATCACCCCCAACCTTTCAAAAAGAATAACAAAACAAAAATTACTTTATTTCAGAATCCATATGCATTTCTAGTCTTAGTATATTTAACTACTTTAATTTTAAATATTTTAATTTTGTGTAATTGATATTCCTTCAAATATAAGGCAAGAAACCATGCTTCAAATGCTATACTAACAAATTCTCCCAGGGAAAAAAATATAAAACAAAACACATTCTAAGTGATATAGTTTGGATGTTTGTACCCTCCTAATCTCAGGTTAAAATCCCATCTCCAAAATTGAAGGTGTGGCTGAGTGAGAGGTGTTTGGGTCATGGAGGTAGATCCCTCATGCACGGCTTGGTGCCTTCCCTGAGGTAAAGAGTGAGTTCTTGCTCCACTAGTTCCTTTGAGTTCTGGTTGTTTAACAAAGATCCTGGTACTTCCTCCCCTCTCTCTTGCTCCCTCTCTCGCGCCTGCCATGTGACATGCCTGCTCCTCTGCTTCTACCTTGATTAGAAGCTCTCTAAAGCCCTCTCCAGAAGCACATGTTGATGCCATGCTTCTTATAAAGCCAGAAGAACAGTGAGCCAAATAAGCCTCTTTTCTTTATAAATTACCTGGTCTCAGGTATTCCTTTATAGCAATGCAAAACAGACTAAGACACCATACTTCAAATGCTGTACTAACAAATTCTCCCAGAGAAAAAATATGGAAAAAAAGCACATTCCAGGGAGTGGTCCATTAATGACATATACTCAGCCATGTCTCTCCTCTTATTTTCCTCTACACAGTCCAGAAAATCAAGTCCTACACTCTTGAATTTCTGGGAGGCCCCTCCAAAAAGTAACCAATGTATATATACCTTTAAAATATTTCTTTATCACGCCTGTAATCCTAGCTCTTGGGAGGCCGAGGTGGGCGGATTGCTCAGGAGTTCAAAACCAGCCTGAGCAAGAGCGAGACCCCGTCTCTACTATAAATAGAAAGAAATTAATTGGCTAACTGATATATATATAAAAAATTAGCCAGGCATGGTGGCGCATGCCTGTAGTCCCAGCTACTCGGGAGGCTGAGGCAGAAGGATCGCTGGAGCCCAGGAGTTTGAGGTTGCTGTGAGCTAGGCTGACGCCACGGCACTCACTCTAGCCTGGACAAAAAAAAAAAAAAAAAAAAATTTCTTTATATTTAAAAATGCATGCTAACTACAACTTCTCATTATGAGTATACTTGCCAAGAGCTGTAGTGCTTATATCTAATGGGCAATAAAAAACTCTGAGGAAAAAGATAGTTACAGATTAAAACATCACAGTGACTAAAACTCTTCTAGTAGAGCAGTGATTTGTAATCAGAGAGTTGACCCATACATAATAAACAAATATTAGGCAGTTTATATGTATTTAGGATTCTCGTAAAATGGTTCTCCATGAAAAGTCTGTTCCCTGAACATTACATTTGAAACATACTCATAGGCTCACATACTTTTTATCCTGGTAATGACCTATAATTACATAGAAGAGAGGGAAAAAAATGAAGTAATTACACAGGGGAGTGGGAAATGAGGGAGTAGGGTTATTGGTCACAAATATAAAGTGAGACTTTTAGCATTCTTGGGGATTTTTTTCTACCTACATTCAGGTGTCACAGATACAGAGAAAACAGAGATCAATTTGACCAGGTTTGCAATTTAACCAAGTAAGTTCAATAAAGCAGGAAAGAGCTTTAAAGAAAGTAAAGTACATGTGCAAGGGACTGATAATAGTGGACCATGCTATCTAGGCTGGGTGAGTAAGGGCACAAACAGGACCTGGGAAAATTAAAAGCAGTAGGAACAATGGCTTGTAGGTCCCAGTGAAATCAAAGGATTTTTGGAGTAAGAATATTAGACAGACTAAGTGGGAAAGATAGAAGGTGGTGGCCGAAGAATAGAATTGTTGAAATTCAAATTATGAAACAGCTACTAATCATGACAAGGACTAGAGGATATCACCTTATCAATTAGTGGTGGAGGCAGAATATAAAACAAGATCATTGAAGGAAAAAAACTCAGTGAACTAAAATACTAGATTATTTGGAAAGCTCTTCTACATAGACATTGTAATCATCAAGAGTTGTGACAACAGTAGTGTTGTGAGATAGGTAGAATATATTATAATACAGACTACTATTATAGTTGCCTACCTTATATTGATTCTTCCTTCTTTACTAACAGGACCTCAATTGTTAGGGATGGCAATACACATAGCTAATAACAATAATAACAAATTTCCCAGCCCCATTTACCAATAAGGGTAATCATGTGTCCTAATCAGGCCAATGAGACAAAAAGAAATTGTTGGGTAGCTCTTCTAGAAAGATCCTCAGAAAAGTACAAAAGCGTCACTTAAGATTAGGATGTAAAAAGACATGAGAGGCCCTCACTGAAGTGTTTACATCACAAAATAAAATGTTCATGCTTTTCCGTGAGGATAATGAAAAACAGGATACAAGGAAGAATGGATGAGTTGAATTCCACAAAAGAACAAGCACTTCATGGGATGAACAAAGAGCAAAGGCCATATCCATACCTAAAGGGCAGTACGGTTAAGGGAAGTGGGCACTTGGACCAGTGAGTATAGTCTAAAAGCAGACCTGTCATTGACAAACAGAATTTGGAGGGATGAAGAAAACCCAACTGAGCTTCTGACAGTAATTTCGCCTGGAAGCTCAACTTGAATAACAGAAGATAAAAGTAAATCACTCAACCCTACCATTTTTCTCCCACCAAACTCCTCCATTCTGAATTTTGCCAAGAAGGTAAAAGAAAAGGAGATCGGAATACCCATAGGTTTGGCCAAAATTTAAAGACTGACAATACCAAGTTTTCGTAAGGATATGGGGCCACTGAAACTCTCATACACAGCTGGTGGGAACATAAAATGGTAGTGTCATATTGGAAAACAGTTTGGTAGTTGCTCATAAAGCTTAACATATACTTACAACATAATCCACAAATTCCACTCATAAGACATTATTTGAGATTAATGAACACATATGTCCTCACAAAGACTTACATACAAATGTTCATAAAATCTTCATTCATAACAGCCAAAATAGCTACTGAATCCAACAATACAAATGTTTATTAACTGATGAATGGAAAAACAAATTGGCAGTATTGCATATAATGGAATACTGTTTACAATAAAAGGAACAAACTACTGACACATAGAACAACATAGATGAATCTCAAAAGCATAAGGGAAAAAAGCTAAATAAAAAAGGCTACTTACTGTATGATTTAATTTATATGAAATTCTAGAAAATGGAAAACTATAGTAAAGGACCAGTGGCTGTCTGGATCCAAGGTAGAAGGAAAGAACTGACTGCAACAGAATACAGTGGAGATTTTTGGGATAATGGAAAGGTTTCATATTTTGATTGTGATGGTGATTACACAACTATAGAAAAGGAGGGGCTAGAAAGCAGAGAAAGCTTATCCTGCATGTCCTTATGGCAAATGTATTTTGAATCCCTGCCAGGATTGAAGCAAAATATGAACCAAAACTATTTAAAATTGAAATCCAGATTCCTGCCAGCTCAAATACTGACAAGATAAAAAAAAAATCAGCCCTTCAGGGAAAGTAACAACATGCAAGATTGTGAATTAGACAAATCAAATGAGAACTCAATCTAATTAAAAGTTAACTGTGGACCTCAACTTAATTCTTAGAGGAATGTGAATGCTTAGCCCTTTTTTCTAAATGCCAGACAAAGGAAACAACAATCATTCTCTAGGAAACAAAATAAAACAAAATATTATACCTCAGTTTCCAATATTCTTTTATATACAATGCTTGGAATTCAGTAAGCAAAATTACAAAACATATGAATAACCAGGAAAATACAATCCATAGTCAAAAGAAAAAAGTCAGTAAAGCAAACACTGATGACCCCAATACTGGAATTAGCAGACAAGGATTTTTTAAATCTATTATTAAGATATAAGAATTTTCAGGAAGAGAGAAGAAGAGATGGATAAACAGAAGGAGAGATACAAAAATCTCTAAAAAGGAACCAAAAAGTAATCCTAAATATAAAAATTATAATATTTGAAATAAAAAAATGTATCAGATAGAGTTTAACAGCATATCAGACACTACAGAATACACTAGTGAATCTGAAGATTAAGGTAGTATATGTTGTCCAAACTAAACCACAAAAAGAGAAAATGCTGACATAAATGAACAGAGTATGAATAACTTCTTACATACTATCAAGCAGTGTAATATATGTGTAATTAGAGTCCCAGAAAAGGGCAGAGGGGGAGCAGTAAAATATCTGAAGAAATAATGAATTTTCCAAATTTAGTGAAAACTGAAAACCATCAAACTACAGACTCAACTTAGTGGACCCTAAGCAGAACAAATATACAGAAAACTTCACCTAGACAAGTCTTCTGAAGCTGCTAAAAAGAAAGAGAAAATCTTAAAAGCAGCCAGAGAAAAAAAGGGAAACACTGATGTAACAACAATAGCACAAAAAATAAGTAGGGATTAATAAAATTATATAGCTATAAGGTTCTCATATTAGAAACAAACTGGTATAATATTAAATTCAAGAAAAATTTTGGGCCAGGCGCAGTGGCTCACGCCTGTAATCCTAGCACTCTGGGAGGCCGAGGCAGGCTGATTGCTTGAGGTCAGGAGTCCGAAACCAGCCTGAGCGAGAGCCAGACCCCGTCTCTACTATAAATGGAAAGAAATTAATTGGTCGACTAACATATATAGAAAAACATTAGCTGGGCATGGTGGTGCATGCCTGTAGTCCCAGCTATCCGGGAGGCTGAGGCAGCAGGATTGCTTGAGCTCATGAGTTTGAGGTTGCTGTGAGCTAGGCTGATGCCACGGCACTCACTCTAGCCTGGACAACAAAGTGAGACTCTGTCTCAAAAAAAAAAAAAAAAAGAAAAAGAAAAATTTTGATATGTTTAAGATATATATTGGATCCCTATAGCAAGCACAAAGAAAGGGTAAAAAGCCAAAATAAGGAAATAAAAAGAAATACTAAAAAAGATACGTAATTAACCCAAAGTAAGACAGAAAAGAAGGAACAAAGACTATATGGGACCAAATAAAGGGCAAGCAGCCAGAGAGTAGACTTAATTTAAATTATTTTATTAACATTTTATTACAATAATTATATGAAATGACATGTAATTATATTAATTGTAAGTGAACTGAATATACCATTTAAACGTCAGAGATTATCAAGGCTGGATAAAAATGACTAAACTTTATTGTTTCAAAGAGATACACAAAAAATACACAGTTATAAATAGTTTGAAATTAAAACATTGAAAGATATAACATGAAATGATTTATCATAAGAAAGCTGGTATCAGACAAAATATGCTTTAGAACATATATTGTATCAAAAATAAAAAATTATTTTGGACTTCCAGTTCTGGCCATGATGGATTAACCCCATTCCTCCAATCCTCCCTCCTACAACTAAAACACCCTAGACTCAACACAACAAACACAGGAAGATTCTGCAAAGTGGAAAGAAGGCAGCATGAATCTCAGCTCTTGATGAACACATGTCAATGAGTTCCCTGGGTTTTCTTTTTACCTGCATATTCTAGATGGGACACGGGAAAAGTCTGCAACCTGCAACTGCCAATAAGCACAAATGAAAAAAGCCCTAAGAAGAACCAAAGGACTATGAAAAGGGGTCTCTAGCATAACATATAACTTTTTGGCAATACCTATCCTACTTGAGTCAAATACCAAGAAAAATTCTAAGCACCACCTCATATACGTCAGCAGTGCTCAAAAATAACGTGGCAATGAAAGTTGACACACCATCTCTCCCACCAGGTTGGTTTCAGCAGTGCTAAATGGAGAGGAAATTTCCATCACCTACCTAGCAGTAATAAGTGGCATTTCGATGCCCCCACCAGGGTGCTATTAGTGGTGCCAAGTAGGGAACTGTACTTCACCCCTTGTCTGAAAGTAGCCATCAGAATGAGGCAAGGATGTCTGCTCTTACCACTGTTACTCAAAGAACAGTGGAAACCACTGCCAGCACAGTAAGTCAAGAGAAGGAAATAAAAAGCATTCAGACAGGAAGCAATACAATAAAATAAAAAGCATTAGACAGGAAGAAATACAACTGTCCCTATTTAAAGATGACATGATTGTCTATGTAGAAAATCCCAAGGAATCTACAGAAAAACCCTAAAATGAAAAAAATACATTGAACAAAGTTGCAAGATATAAGATCAACACACAAAAATCATTCATGTTTCTCTACTAGTAAGTAACAAGCATGTGGAAGTTGAAATTTAAAGCATAATGCCATTAATAATCACTCCAAAAAACCATGAAATATCCATGTATATATCTATCAAATCATGCATAGGATCTATACAACGAAAATTTCATAATGCTAATGAAAGCAATCAAACAAGACCTAAATAAATGGAGAGACATATTACGTTCATTAATTAAGACTCAGCATAGGTGTTTCACTACATGGAGCCAAAGTCAATCCCTAATTAATAAAATTAAATTATATAATAAAAGAATAGCATTCTATGTGTAAAGTATATTAAAATATGGTTGAATACATAAAATAACTCAACAAATTGAAGAAGAACCATATAATTACCTCAATAGTTGCATTACTGCAATATATACAACAAATACATTTGTTAACCTCATTTATTCTTTAGGGTTTTTTTTCATTTAGTAAGCTAGAAATAGAAGAATATGTTCTTGATATGACATAGAATATAAATCTCAAACCAATAGATAAGCCCATGCTTAAAAATTAAACAGAAGAAGCATTATTAAAAGCAGTCCCAAGATACAAACATGCCTCAATTAAACTTTAAGAGAAGTATTAGCAGAAGATGGAAAAATCGATACAGTAGTTTAAAGTTTCCTAGGAGGATCATTTTCATGGATGGGGAATTTATTCTGAGAACATATATGGATTCCAAAAGGAAATCTTGGCCCTTTTCAGTGATAATGTGTCTACCTTATTACCTATACTTACAGATAAAGATAATTCTTCCTTTTCAGGTTTCACAAATAGTTTTTCTGCATTTTCAATGTTAAATCCATAGGTTTCTTCCAAACTAGAAACTACCTATTAAAAATATCAAAGCAAATTAAATACTTTCATAGTTTAAAATTAATTTCATGGAACATAAAAGATATTTAAGCAATCATGCCAGGAGCTTTTTAGCAGCAAGATTTATTTCTGCAAGTGCCATAAACTTATTTTGAATCCCATACCCCATATCTCATATCATTATAAGGAAAAGGCAATAGTCCTTTACCCTACTCCTTAGCACTGGAGAGATAGAGACTCCATGACTTTATGACTTCTGTGTTGATAGATATCTATAAGGGAGAGGGTCTGTCCATGAATGGTTGAAGCATTAAATAGAGGTTTCTTCAAAGTCTGACTGCCTTGACTTTTTCCCCTGAAGAGAGTAAGGAAAATAGAAAGATGGAGAGCAGAAAAAAATCAATTTTTAAAGGAAATTCTCTGACCTCACCCCTCAAACTTTGAACAAACGTGTATTTTGGAAGTTTGACAAACAACATATTCTTTTTATATTTGTGTTCTTCCTCACTGTTCTCACTTGATGTTTGGTACATTTACAAACAATTCAATTCTGGCTCGCTGTGCAAAAAGAAACCAAGAAACAGGATTTTTTTTCCACACTAATAGCTAAAGTTTCTGAAGCACAAAGAAGAATTAAGAGCAGGCATAAAACTTAAGAGTGACCTATCTTTATAAAGGCCTGCTTGCATGGTTGGCCTTAACCTTGCATCTGAGAACTTGGATTTCGGGAGGGTTCCTACTAATTAAGAGAGGCTCACTGTCCCTAAACAATGTGGTTTATGCTGAACACTTGCTTTTCTTGTGGGACTTGAGAATTTTGGAAAAGGTTAGGGCAGAGGGTGCCTAGGTGACCAACTCCCCAGTAAAAACTCTGAGTGCTGAGTAACTTTCCCTGGTAGACATTTCACATGTGCTGTCACAATTCATTGCTAAAGGAATTAAATATATTCTGTGTTACACTAAAGGGAGAAGACTCTTGCAAGTTTAGACCTGATTTCCTCCAGATTCCACCTCATGTACCTGATATAATAAATCTCAGCCATCAGTATGACTATGTGCTGAGTCCTGCAAGTTCTCCTAACAAGTCACCAAACCTGCGGATGGTCATAGGGATCCCCCAACGCAGAGACAAGTGTCTTACCATCTTCAGATGTCTGATAATTTTCCTGATCGCTTCATCTTCTGTTATCAAGTCCTTTGTCCTACTTGATGGAATAGGTAAAGCATATCGTACAACAGATTCTCCTGTTGGTGGAGATCTTAGGACCATTGGTTCAATTTTATCATGTACTAATTTGGGACTGAGTTTTTTCTTTGGCATAGGTGACATTGGTAAGTTAAGTAGCCTTTTTTTATTAGTTAATTCTGGAACACTTGCCAAATTCTGAGTAGTGGTCAAAAGATGCTTTGCTGACTTCATTTTGTTATTAACTTAGCTTCCAAACTATAGATGAAAAAATGTTCTTCCTCTCTGTGAATAAAACATTAAGAGATTCAGAGAAAATATCACACTATTGAATTAAACAACAAAAATAAGTTTATTCTAATTAAATTCACATACTACATTTCTGTTTTTGTTATTCTCATGCTATAGCAATTTTCTTAGAGTACATCAAGCAACATCTGGAAGCTACAATTACACTCTGGGCTCCTTTTATTTACAATTACTTAAACAAAACAAAGAAAAATAGAATGTAGTTATCACAGTATCTAATTTACATCAAGTAGTTACTTAAGCCTAAGTATAATAACAATAATAGTAAAAGATCAATCATTTTAAGGTAATATATGTCCTTTATATATATCATTAGTCCCATTTTACATGTGAGTAAACTGAGTTCAGAGAACCCAAGAGTCACAAAGCAAATAAATGTTAAAGTTGGAATTTCGACATACGTCAATAGGCAACAACTAAAGCTTTTTTTCTAAACTATTTTCTCTCCATATGGAAAATGTCGGCTTTTTATTGAATCCTAAAATGTGTTTAGAACCACAAAAGACCCCAAATAGCCAAAGCAATCCTGAGTAAAAAGAACAAAGCTGGAGATATCGTACAACCAGACTTCAATATATACTACAAAGCTATCAGAAACATAAACCAATGGAATATAGTAGTGAACCCAGAAATGGATCCACATATCTACAGCCAACTGATTTTTAACAAATGTTCCAAGAACATACACTAGGGAAAGGGCAGTCTTTCTAATACATGGAGCAGGGAAAACCCGGTATCTATATACAAAAGAATGAAACTAGTCTCCTGCCTCTCATCCTATACAAAAATCAACTCAAAGTGTATCAAATACCTAAATATAAGACCTGAAAACATAAAACTACTAGAAGAAAACATAGGGGAAATGCTTCGGGACATGAGTCAGGCTAAGGATTTTATGGATAAGATCTCAAAATCAAAAATAAACAAGTGGGATTATATCAATCTAAAAAGCTTCTACACAGCAAAGGAAACAATCAACAGAGTAAAAAGACAACCTACAGAACTGCAGAAAATATCTGCAAACTGTTCATCTGACAGGGGATTAACATCCAGAATATACAAGAAACTCAAACATCTCAACAGCAAAAAAAAAAAATTACAATTTTTAAAATGAGCAAACAATCTGAACATTTCTCAAAAGAAGACATACAAATAGCCAACAATATATGAAAAAATGCTCAACATCACTAATCGTCAAGGAAATGCAAATCAAAACCACAATGAGGGTATCATCTCCACCCACTTAGGATGGCTGTTATTACAAAGACAAAAAATAACAAATGCTGGTAAGGATATGGAGAAAAGGGAACTTACACATTGTTGGTGGGAATTCAAGCTAGCATAGGCACTATGGAAAACAGTGTGGAAATTCCTCAAAAAACTAAAATTAGAACTACCATAATACCACTACAGGGCATTTATCCAAAGGAAAAGAAATCAGTATATCAAAGAGACATCTGTGTTTATTGCAACACTATTCACAGTAGCCAAGATATGGAATCAAACGAGGTGTCCAACAACAGATGAACGGATAAAATAATGTGGCATACAGAGAAAATGGAATACTATTCAGCCATAAAAAGGGTGATATCCTGTCATTGCAGCAACATGGATGGAACTGGAGGACAGTATATTAAGCAAAATAAGTCAGGAACAGAAAATTAAACACCACATGTTCTCACTCATATGTGGAAGCTTAAAAAAAGTTGATCTTGTAGAAGTAAAACATAGAACAGAGGGTACTAGAGAGTGGGAAGGGAAGAGAAAGGGGATAGGGAGAGATTTTTTTAAAGTATTAGAGTGGACTCTAATTCAATGACTATGTCCTTATATGAAGGAAAAACAGGCCAGGTGTGGTGGCTCATACCTGTAATCCCAGGACTTTGGGAGGCTGAGGCTGGAGGATCCCTGAGGCCAAAAGTTCAAGACTAGCCTGAGCAACATGGCAAGACCATTGTGGTGGCATGTGCCTGTAGTGCCAGCTACTCAGGAGGCTGAGGCAGGAGGATCACTTGAGCTTAGCTCAAGTCTGCAGCGAGCTGTTCACTCCACTGCCCTCCAGCCTGGGCAACAGAGTGAGGTCCTGAAGGAAAGGAAAGGGAAAGGAAACGGGAAGGGGATGGGGGAGGGGAGGGAAGGAGGGAGATAAAAAGCGGAGGAGAGGGGAGGGGAGGAGGGGAAAGAAAGAAGAGAAAAAGTGGAGGGGAGGGGAAGGGAGGAGAGGGAAGGGGAGGAGAGGAAAGAAAAGAGAAAAAGCAGAGGGGAGGGGAGGAGAGGAGAGGGGGAGGGGAGGGGGAATTCAAGCTAGTATATTTATCCAAAGGAAAAGAAATCAGTATATCAAAGAGACATGGAGGGGGGAGGGGAGGGGAGGGGAAAAAACAGACACACATAGGAGAGAATGTAATGTGAAGACAGAAGCAGAGACTGGAGTGATGAGTCTACAAAACAAAGGATGCCACTAATTGCCGAATTGCCGGAAGCTGGGAGAGAAGCAGGGAGCATCAGCTTCCTAAGAGCCTCCAATGAGAACTAACCCTGCCAACACCTTCATTCTGGACTTCCAGCCTCCAGAAATATGAGAGTATAAATTTCTGTTTTAAGCCATCAAGTTTACCAGAAGGAAACATATACATGCTGATGGAAATGATCCAATCTGAAAAGAAAAATGTATGACTGGTAGACAGGAAATTGTTCGGATATCCCTGTGTTAACAAGAAAGGAGTTTAATTACAAATGAGGCAACTCTGGTTCAGATCAGTAGAGGAGAAGTTTGTTCAAGTTAACAGGCAGGAAGGCGGAGGTGGACTACTTTAAAAAACCAGTAAGAAAAGGATATGATAATCACTTGATGTTTAAAAAACACAGACCTAACAAATGTTCCCATGAAGTTCGCATAAATACTAAAGTAACAGTCACATGCAGTGAATAGTCGTATTAACAAACAAACGTTTAAAGATTTTACATGTTTACTTCACTAGCCTTCCTAACATCTTAGGAGGTGGATATATCCCTATTAATTTGCCCAAGTTTTATCCATCACTTTCCACCACCACGACAGACGTTTCGTAGGTTTGTGATTCAAAGATTGACTTGATATTCATTTCAAACCCTTTACTCACAGTCTACAAAGTCAGGGACAGCGGCAGGGATGGGGTGTTGGGCAAGGAGGATTTGCCTTGCATCCTGTCTGCACAACCGCCGGCGGCAGCCACGCAGCGGGGAAGCTAACTGAAAAGCAGGGGTGCTTCTGCAGAGCCGCCAGTGGAAACCCTCCCTCCGCGCGCCCCGCGCCCCCCCGCGCCCGCGCCGCAAACCTGCCGAGGGGTGCCGGCGCGCTGTGCCGCGGCGAGGCCGGCTCTGAGGTGAAAACGATCTGCCTGAGGGGCTGGGAATCCCGACCCGCCAGCCTTCAAGGCAGAAGCCTGCACGCTGTGCAGACGCCAGCCTCGCCCTTCCGTCACAAACCGGCATTTGCGCTGAAACCCACGGCCCGGCCTCGGCGCCCCCGGGCTGCGACGACCAGCGCGGGATAGGGCTGTTGGCGCCACGTCACCGCCGCCTTCTCCGTGACGCCCACGACAGCGTCGCGGACGCTACAGGCGCACGCGGCGCTTTGCAGGGCATGCCGGGGCCAAGGTTTTCCGAGCCAGTAGAAAGAATGAGAGCCCTCAGCCGCTGCGGCCTGGGAGAACTTAGGGTCCGTGGGACCTCGTACTCTTACTTTGTCGCTCACTCCATGTGTAATTCCAGGACGCCGCACGTGCGCAGACTCACTGAGGCGTTTGGCCTAGAGGCTCGAGAAGGGGAAATAAAACTCGAGCCTGGTAGGGCTTTGAGAACCTGGGCTTTGCTTGCAATGCCTGAGCCCCAGGCCCTCCTCTGCTGGTGCCTCAGGCTCTTTTCCATGCCAGGTTCTGGAGTCTACCAGACTCCAAGCTCCCACGGAATTGTACAGTGGCTTCGTGGTTTTAAAATTAATGGGCTAGAAATGAACTCTAAGAATTGTGTCAAAAGCAGTCTCTTGCAGTCAGCTTCCACGCATTGCTTTGATATGCAATTTTCTACAAGTTTTTTTTTTTTGGGTAATTTCATCTCAAGAAATTTTGATTTTTAAAAAAGGTGAAGGTTGTTAATTTAAAACACTCTCCAAAACAAAGTTATGACCAAGATTAAATGTTCTAATATTAAAAATATTAACTCAAGAATTTAATTTTTAATAGTGATTGTATTTAACAGCTGCCTCATCAGATTCCTGAAAATTTAACTATCAGCCCTCAAGGGCTGGTGCAAGCTAGCTCCAGCACACCACTCGTAGTTACCTTCGGGGTTAACTGGAAAGAGACCTGAAGAAGTCTTCTGGAGTGCTACAAATGATCTGTTTTCTGCTCTTTCTGGGTGTGTGCAAAAATTCATGAAGGCTTATGTAAGGCTGGTGGCGGCCCCCTCCCTTCCCTAGATCATAAAAGAAAAGGCTCATGAGACCAGACCCGCCAAGGACAAACTGCTAGGCCACGCTGAGAGGAACCACACCCAGATGTCCACCTGGATAAACCTCCAGCCCCTCCTAAAATCCCCAGCTCTTCCCGCCAAAAGTCCCTAGCCAGGCCCAACAGGTATAAAAGGCCTCTACCCCTTCATACAGCGGGACTTCTGGGGCCCCTCTCTTGGGTCCCCAGAACCTAGTCCAGGAGTGTATAATAAAGCCACGTGGTTTGGCCCCCACTCTTTCTCTCTCTGTGTCTGTCTTTTCTTTTCTCTGCCTAAAAACCTTACAGCTTACACACCATTTTGGCACTTCATGTATGTTTTATGTTAATAAGAAATAAAATATATATGTAGTGATCAAACTATTCCACCAACATAAAAAAAAAAAGGCTGGCAGTAAGTTTAAGGATGTTTACATAGAATTGCTAAATTCAAGATCTCCCAAAATCATTTTAAATTAAGGGAGTAGGAAAGATGGAACTAAAAATCGGGAAAGAGATTTAACTTAGAGGGCAGAGACTGTTGAACTTTCTAGATTTGACATAACAGATTTCCACTATTTTCCAGAGTCATGAAAATTGATTGTATCTAGTCATTTCTAATTATGCTGGTAAAATCTGAATGGTAGAGTTAGTCAAATTAGCATACTTGAGCAAACCTCTCACCATGAGTCTAGCCAAAAATCCAGCATGCATATCTATCTGTAACCTTAATATTCAACAGAGTTGGAACCAAAGAAAATTATCAGTGCTGGCAAAGTAAGTTGAAGAAGTCTAAAAAGTGAACAAATTTAAGCATGTAATGTCAAACTTTGCAGTGATTCAAATCTGTGACACAAAGGAGTCTATTATTCTTTGAAACTTAGACAAGCAATACCTAGGAATAGAAGGGAACTTTATCATCTGATAAAGGACCTCTGAAATATCTACAGCCAACATAATGTTTAATGGTGAAAAATTTAATGATTTTTTCCTTAAGCTTTGGAACAAGACAAGAATATCTGCTCTCACTATGTCTACTCAATATTTGTACTAGATGCCTTAGCCAGTGCAATAAGGCAAGGAAAAGCAATAAAAGGCATAATGATTGCAATGAAAGAAATAAAACTGTCTTTATTTCCAGACAAGATGAGTGTGCTCAAAAAGAATCTAAAGTAACCTACAAACTACTAAAGCAAATAATTTAAACGTATCAGGGTCATGAGTTGAAGATCAATGTACAAAAATCAATTGTATTCCTACATACTAGCAAGAATAATTGAACAGATATACAGATAATCTTAGAATATATACTTTTTAAAAATTTTTCACTGTAAGGCCGGGCGCGGTGGCTCACGCCTGTAATCCTAGCTCTCTGGGAGGCCGAGGCGGGCGGATTGCTCGAGGTCAGGAGTTCGAAACCAGCCTGAGCAAGAGCGAGCCCCCGTCTCTACTATAAATAGAAAGAAATTAATTGGCCAACTAATATATATAGAAAAAACTAGCCGGGCATGGTGGCGCATGCCTGTAGTCCCAGCTACTCGGGAGGCTGAGGCAGGAGGATTGCTTGAGCCCAGGAGTTTGAGGTTGCTGTGAGCTAGGCTGACGCCACGGCACTCACTCTAGCCTGGGCAACAAAGCAAGACTCTGTCTCAAAAAAAAAAAAAAAAAAAAAATTTTTCACTGTAACCAAGAAATAAATATATAACAATCTTAACATAAAATATATTCATATGAGATATCTAAAATGAAAGCTACAAAAGACTACTGAGAGAAATTAAGACCCAAGTAAATGGAGAATGTATACCATGTTCATGAATTAGAAGACTCAATATTGTTAAAATGTCAACTGTTCTTAAAATTAATCTGTTAATCAATATTAAATTAATCTATAGATTAAATTCCATTGAAATCAAAGTCTAAGCATACTATTTTATAGAAATTGGCAAAATAATTTTCTACTTACTATGGAAATACAAAGATATAGGATAGCCAAAACAATCTTGAAAATGGGCAAATTATTTTAAAATATATCCTACAGAGTTTCAAGAGTTATAAAGTTATAGTAATCAAGATAATGTAGTATTTCACAAAGATAGACAAAAATAGAATAAATAGGGGGTGCAGAAATACACCTACACATGCAAAGGCAACTGATTTTCAACAGTGACAATCACTTCAGTTGAGGAAAGAAAAATCTTTCCTACAAATGGAAACAGAAAAGCTGATATTATTATGAGAAAAAAATTATCCATGACCCCTGCCTCATACCATACCTGAAAGTTAATTTGAATTGGATCATACATTTTGTACCATGGACACATATCAGATATAGCAACCTTCAAGGCATAATATGAAGAGTTCTGCTGCCAGCCAAGATGGAGTAACAGGGACTGGGTTTATCCCTCTACCTAGAACAAGTAAAGAATCAGATAAAATATATGAAACAATAAATTTCAAGACATTTTATATCAGTTAATGAATGACAGTGTTCCCTGCATAACAGGAAATGAACAAGATGATCTCTATGATTTCCTAAGCTTACTGTCTGAAGAGAGGTGTTTCCAAGTCATGATGCAAAGAAGGGATATCTAGGAAGGCCAAGGAAGCTTTAGTTCAAGGGAGAGAATACTGAAGAGGAAATTAAAGAACAGAGAAAGACTTCCATAAATCTTTAGGAGACCTCTTTAGTCTTCAGCTGAGTAATGATCACTGCATGTATGGAAACTTCCCAAGACTAGGGAGAAAACCACCTGAAAACAGCATAGGGTACAATATTCGGAGCTCAAAAAGTGCTCAGAATATTTCATGTTACCACCAGCTAGAGTAAAAAGCTTTATAATTTATGGGGCACTGAGAAAGTGTTCAAAACGGTTTTGCCTGAGAAAGGGGTCAAAACCAGTCTTATACTAAACATTCCTCTGAACCTGTCAGACAAAGCTTTAAAAAAAGACCTAAAAGGACCAAATGTTTCCAATAACTGAACTAAGACCCCAAGCAAAGCCCAAGAATATTTATAGGCATATAGAAACATCCAACACTCAACTAGGTTAAAAAAAATCACAATGTCTAGTGCCGAATCAAAAATTACAAGGTATATAAATAAACTGGAAAATAACGGGATAAAAATCAATTAGTCAAAATGGTCCCACACATGACAGATGATAACATTAGTAGATAAGAACAATAAAAGTTACTATAGCTGTATTCCATATATTCAAAAATCTAGAGGAAAGATTGAACATGTTAAGTAGATACACAAGAAATATGAAACGATGAAATCAACTTTCCAAAAATGAAGATTACAATGTCTGAGATAAAAAATGCACTGGATGAGAGAAACAGCAAATTGGCAATTACAGAAGGTTCATGAACCTGATGGCATAGCAAGAGAAACTATTCAGAATAAAAGATACAGAAAAAATTGGAAAAAATTATCAGGATTTCTGCAAATGTGGAGCAACTTTGAGTGACATAATATAGAGTTGTCCTTTGGTATTCATGAGGAATTTGTTCTAGGATAAAAATCCACATATACTCAAGTCTCTTTTGTGAAATGGTATAGTATTTGCATGTAACCTATACATATCCTCCCATATACTTTAAATCATCTTTAGATTACTTATAATAGTAATACAATGTAAATAACTTAGGTCAAAAAAATAACAAAAATGGAAATTAGAAAGTATTTTGAACTTAATAAAAATAAAAACAAAGCACATTAAAATGTACGTGATACAGATAAAGCAGCATTTAGTGGGAAATGTATACCACTAAATACCTACAATAGAAAAGAAAAACATTCTCAAAGTAATTATGTCAGCTTCCAGTTTGAGAAACTAAAAAAGAAGAGCAAATGAAACACCAAGGAAGCAGAAAAAAGAAAATAATTCAGATAAGAGCAGGAATCAATGATTTTAAAAAAAGAAATAGAGAAAATCAGTTCAACCTCCTGATTCCACCCTGATGTCTTTGAACCTATCTTCCAATACTCCACCTGCAACCGTCTTCCTAGCTCTTCCTCAGTAACAGACAATAAAGTGAGG